TGTAGGCAGCAGCTCCAGGAGTTGCGTCTGAAGCAGGAGCAGAAAGAACGGGAAAAGAAGGGATCACGTAAGCAGGATCTTCAAGGTGAATCTGCAGGAGAAAGAGCAAAACCAAGAAGAATTCAGCCCCAGCACCAAAACCCTAATTCAGTGAGTCATTCTCTTTAATGTTGCATTTATATATGCTCTTATAATAAGGGTTTGCATTGTGTATTGCAACATTCAGTTCCTCTGACCTACCACTAGAGGGACCCTGGTGTCTATATTTGAACTCATGAATAACTAATGAATGCCATGTGGTGGGATCTGTTTCTTTAGCTGCCAGCTATGCTAGAGCAGACCACCTTGAGGGGAGAGACACCTGTTGCTCTTGACCTAATAGAGGAAGAGGAGGCAGAGAGAGTCAGTGAACTTCACCAGCGAGAGATTCTGCTGCTAAACATGGGTGTGGTGAACCAAGTGCGCCAGCTACTTCAAAGTGCCAATCATCTTACTGAACTAATCAACCACTCGCATGAACAAACCAGCTTTCCCTCACACTGCAGACACGACCACAAAGTATGTGAGCAAAGAAATCCTGTATTAAAAAAGGGGTGGTTCACCCAAAACAAAACAAAAAAATGCTGTCATTACTTACTACAAACCTGTATAATTTTCCTTTTTGAAACCCAAAAGAAGATATTTTGAAAAATTTCTTTTTTTTGTCAAATGAATGTCAATGGAGTCCAATGCATTGCTATTTAATTATTATTAGTATTTTGAAGTAGTTTTTAACTTTTCTGTCTTCAGTTTAATTTTAGTTTAGGTTTTAGTCATGTTTAATGTGCTTTTGTCATTTTTATCAGATTTTGTTTTTTCAGATGTTTCTATTTAGCTTTATTTTTTATTTCAGTTTTGGTCATTTTGCTACTTAAACTTTATTTTTTCAATTAAAATTTTGGATTTTCATTTCTTTTTTTTTTTCCGTTTCAGTTTTTCATAATGATATTTTCTTTTATTTCAATTACCAAACACAATTTTAATGGTTTTAGATTTAGTTAACAGTAACAGCATTTTGTTGCAAACAACCATTGACTTTTATTGTATGCACAAAAACAGCTAAAACATTCTTCAAAATATTTTGTGTTCTGCAGAAAAAAAGTAAACAGATTCTCCTCTCTTACTGCACAATATTCTAAACTGCCTTAATATAAAATGGTTCCTACTTTCTCTATCCAGCTGGACTCCATTGCAGAGATTTCTTACAGGCAGAAGGACCTCTGCACTATGATGCATCAGCAGGTGTCTACAAAAGCCAAGCCCTGCATGCATAATATACATTCCCAGCCGCTGCAAAGCCGAAAGACATGGCCCTCTCTTGAACACGGTCTGCTACAGCCAGTCCAGACTGAACCGGGAGGTCTGAAACACTGTGAGGTGGAAGATATGGCTTCTGCTGATCTAATGAAAGCTACTAGTGCTCAGCGGATACCTTTGACAAGTAATGAACTTTTTGAATAGTTTTTTGCCTCATATCATAAAAATAGAAAAGCAATTATTCATAGAAAATAATGCACCTATATTCTTCCTCTGCTTCACAGTAAATGGGTCTTTTGCTTGGCATCATGGCAGCATGAGTTCCTCTTTGGCTGAGTCGAGAGCGAGAGCGTCAATGCTAGGAGTGCCTCCTCTCGTTCTAGGACGACCACAGGGTGCCACGGTGTTCCGTGACCCCAAATCTCTCTATGTCATTTCCACCCCTGCTCCTCTTGTCCCCAGGCCACACCTCTCCCATGCCCTTCGAAAGGCCCCTCGCAGAGTCCCACCGCATGACCCAGGACGGGTGCAAGCTCAACATAACCAAGTAATTCAATAAAATTAGTATGGAGAATACAGACTAAGGAAGGTGTTCAGATGTCAGTAATGAATCTGCAATAGAAGGTGAGATGGTCTGCATTCAACTGTCTTCCGTACTGAAAATGTGAACATTTTCTGTTTTCAGTAGAAAGCCATTTCTCTGTTTTGTCAACTTTAGTTCTGTAATTTGGTTACTCTTAGTCAGGAAACTTTACAACTTGACAATGAAGTATGCTGGTGCCTACTGTAGCTTCTAATGTTTTTTCTTGCTATGCATTCTTAGTTTGGAAGAAGCCATAAGAGAATGATTTTAATATAAATTAATGTGAATATGCTTTTATTTTACACAGCCTTTGTAAGCTATTTTCATGAATTTTCATGTCATACTGAGCCAATATAAATAAACATTTCAATAAAAAAAACAAATAGTATTTTGTTTATTAGTTCTAGCATGCCTAACACTTAATTGTGTGCTGCTAAACTGATTTGATAGATTTTATTATTATATATCACACTGTCTAAATAAATACAAAAATGGAATAAAGTGGAATTTTTTTGTCAGCAGGTAAATTGTACTTAATCTCCACTATGTTTTCCAAAAAAATTGTTATCCAAAGTGTGTGTGTAGGGTGGGGGGGGCTTAGATAAAAACCTTTGTATAGTATTAAAACCTTATATAATGTATTATATGCTGTAGATAAATATCCCCTCTGTACAGAGCTGGTGCATAAATCAGTCAGTCATGTTGAATTTATATCATCATAAATATACTATAATTTGTTGTGGTAATTCTATAGTTGCTGTGGTAATATAATAACTATAGTAATATAAACAAATTACCCAATACTGTACTGTTTTCTACAACTATAGGGTATATTATATTACAATACACTACAGTTTACTGTTGTAAAAACTAAAGTATTCTACAGTATTTATTACAGTTTATCAGTTCACTATAGTATGCTGTAGCATTCATTAACCAAGTGTTGTAAATATTATATATAATACATGTTGCTATAGTATGGTTCCAAAACACAATAGTAATTGCTATAAATTACTATAATATTTTTTTCATGTGGGGGGCAGTCATATAGAATTATGGGTAAGGGTAACATCACACCCTCCGTCGACTGTAGTGGAGACCGTGCATCAGATGAGCTACTTGTTCAATTAAAATATCAAACAAAAACATTTTACAACTTTAGCTGCAATCTATCCAAAATGTAAAAAAATAAAAATCTAATTAAATTATTTTTATTTCCTTAATCGCAGGCAAAAGCAAACTGGTTGCAGAAAACATCCGTGTGTAATATCTCATCGCTGAACACTCATGAATAGTTTTGCAACATGTTAACCTTATTTTAGAATTAGTTTGAAATTCATTTTTAAATGTTTACATTTAAATGTTCTGTCCTGTAGGATGCAAGCTTAGAATTATTCAGATATGAACAGTTGGCTTCAACGATCCACATACCAGATGAGTAAGTTTTAGAGGTTCAGTCTGATAGCCTGTACGCACCAAAAACATAATACTATTGCAATATAATATAACAAAAAAACACACATTATGAATGTATTTTTTGCGAATTAATGTATTAATAATACAAATAAAGAATAGGAATATATTTAAGAATATTAAAAATACATTATTTTACAAACAAAAGCCAACAGGTTATTTAACAATAATAATAATAATAAGTGGATGTTTTACAGAGAACTGCTGTGTATATGCAGAGGCAGCGACTGTCTTTTTGAGACAGGGGAGGCCTACGCTTAATTTCGCGTGGCTTGATGTAATAGTGCATAAAATGAAGGCAGTAAAATCTAATTAGTTGTTCCTCTGGTCGTAAAGTAAATGCGAAAAAATGAAAGCAACTGTGGTATGAAATGATCTTGCAGCTGTTCAGCACCGCGTTGTTTGCCTTTTCATTTTCTCCAGAAAATTACTCCCGTTTTACTACCTTTCTCCCCCATGCTGCTGCAAACAGAGAGAGAACACTCAGAGTAACTTCGTTTTTGCTTTTCGATAGTCCAAGCAAAAATGACATTTAAAACATTTATTTGTTGAATGTTTTTGTGCTCATGGATTCGTTAAGAGTATTGCATTGTCCTGTTCTAAACAGATTCTTTGTCGTGAGTGAATTCGAATGAACTTACAATGTTCACCACACGAGGGCGGTGTTACTCTAAAAGCAGACAGGACCGCGCGCATAGATGTCCTCAGTCTAACCTGAAAACAGATTCACACACGACTCGTTTACATGTGAACGGTAAAGGAAAAAGCTTGTAGCCTAAAATAATTACATAAAATTCCAAATATTAAAATGACCCCCTCTTTTATATTTTTCTGAAGTGAGGTAGCTACAAGTGTAATAGCCTAAACATAATGGGTGGTCTGTTCTTAGCTTCTCTGAGTTGACTGATAAAAATCCTTGCCATCTTGAATGATCCAGTCACTTGTATTGTACTTGATAGCGTTTTCTAAACAAAGAAGGCTATATAGCCTAATCGCAGTAGCCTACATTGCATTAGACTTAAAGACTGACGAATATCTTAATCATCAAACCATAAAGATGAATGTGATGACAAATATGGTATATTTCATCATACGATGGACCTGAATAAATCTATTTTTGTTGGCCCACTGGAAGCATTACGCTTGTCGTGTGTAGGCCTATATGCTATATGTGCTCTTGGCACTGAAATGGTTTACCAATAGCAGTCCTACTCCGCCTCCCCCTCTACCTCCCCAAGAACTCCCTCTCTCCCCTTTTACATCTCTCTTTTTCAGTTTCTCCTGTTCTTCCTATCGCAAGAACGCGCTTTGTCTGTTTGGAGATGTCGAGCGCACATCCAATGATATAAGGAATCAATAACTAACGCCCATATGAAATGCAACTCACTATCAAAGAGAGTAAAAACGGAAAGCTATTTATTGTTCGAGGACCATCACTAAGGAGTCATGTGGGTGCAGCTACGGATACATTTGTTTGCATGAATATTTACGACATTTTACGCGTATAATTTCCACCTGGATGAATTCTTCTTTTTTTTCATTGTAACAACAGGCCTGCATTTGCTCAATTAACATTATTCATCAAGAGACTGCCTGATCTCAATACAGTTGTCAAAGTTCCTTCTTCGGGGAGTTGATCTTGCAGGCAATGAGTTCTTACTTCGTCAATTCCCTCTTCACTAAATTTAAAGGAGGCGATTCTCTGCGCTCCAACTACTATGACTGCTCGGGGTACGCGCCGGATCTCGGAGGCAGACCATCTGTGCTGTACGGTCACAACTCTGGATCTGCGTTTCAGCACGCGGCTCAGTTCCCGGATTTCTACCACCACGGTGCATCATCCTTCTCCCACGCGACTTACCAACAGACCCCGTGCGCGGTAGCTTACCCTGGAGATGCCACAGGAAACATCTTGGGCCAGGACAGTTTACAGAGACAGTCGTTCTTCAGCGCACCAGAAGCGGATTTTACGCAGTTTGGGGATTGTAATTTAAAGGTCAGCAGTATCAGGGATGATTTGGAAAGTGCAGAACCGTGCACAGCGCAGCTCTTCCCATGGATGAGACCACAAGGTGAGATGAGTGAAGAGAAACACCTAGTCTGTTATAGTCCCACATAAAACGCTTTAGACAATGGTGGGCCTACTTATTACCCCCAATTAAACACTTTATGGCACCTATAGATTACTGAGGAATTAGCACCCTTAAAAAAAATCCAGATTGCTACGTAATGGCATGCAGTGTCTAGAAACTGTGAGGGTTTTATGACTTTGTTTTATTTATAGATGATATATGAGAAATCAAACACTATGTCACCGGAAATAACGCCTTTTTCCCCCACAGCTACCGGCCGGAGAAGGGGCAGGCAGACCTACAGCCGCTACCAGACTCTGGAGCTGGAGAAGGAGTTCCTGTTCAATCCTTACCTGACCCGCAAGCGGCGCATCGAAGTGTCTCACGCACTGGCCCTCACTGAGAGGCAGGTGAAGATCTGGTTTCAAAACAGGCGCATGAAGTGGAAAAAAGAACACAACAAAGACAAGTTTCCCTGCAGCAAAGCGGAACAAGAGCAAATGGAGAGGGAAGAGGGGAGCCAGGTATCAGAAAAACACACATCAGGAGAAGAGGACTCGGAGACTTCCAATAATTCTAAATAGTCTGCTGACTAATAAAAAAGAAACATCACTGCAATCGAGCAACTGCAATTTAAATAAAAGTCTGAGGTTCAAAGTGTCGTCTGTGGACACGCAAAGGCTATCAAATACAAAGCCAATCATATATTCCATTTACTGCAAACTTATAAGAAGTTCCTGTTTCCAAACGGTGATTATTTCCGCTTATCATGTTTTGCTGGATCAGTCTCAGTTTTGTAAGGTTTCACTGGTGTGTTTGTCCTCGAGTAGATTACTCTTGAGGTTACTGTTGCAGTGAGGGCATATGAGGCGAAGGCTATATGGTCTGCATGGCGTCAATTTCCTATCCAAATTAGTGGGAGTCACAATCCAAGATATGTTCTCTTCAGTAACTCTGTTATAGCCTATAAGATGGGGTGAGGAATCAGCATTAGTGAGTGCATTACTGTATCTCTTACTGTAAGAAAATGCACTTTTGTGATTGTTAATTACTGTTCAGAAATTATTATTCAGGTTTACAGATCTTCAACCGAACTACCTAATATCTGGGTCATTGCGTCAATCATTTTGTCAGTGTATCCATGCGTAATGCTTTCCTGAGAGGGATGGTACACGCACAATGTTATTCTTTAAAAAACATGCGGTGTAAAAATTTGATATTGCAGTTCCGTGAAGCACTGTTCTATTGTATTTTCTATTGTCTTTAACTGGAAGTGGTTCCTGAAAGAAGCCACAATAAAATGTAAGAAAAGAATCCCTTCGCCTTTGTTCATTTTCCTTTCACTGGATTGTCTCTTGTTTCCACAACACAAACACCCAAATCATTGTCACACTTTACAACCAAAGTGAACCAAAATAAAAGCCTCGATTGCACGGATAGTCTAATGTATTTCATTTGGAGATAGTTTTTCACATGTAATCCTCAAATAGAATTAGGCTACGTAAATTGTAAATGAATCATATAATAAAGTCAATTAAGTCCATTGTAAATCAGTCACATAAAAAATTGATTTAAATGAATCATAGGTCTATAAAAATAAAATTAAGTCGATTATATAAATTAAGTGAAATATATGAATATCACGATAATATCATAACAATTCCAAATATTAAAAAAGGACCTTATCTTTCACAGTCTCTCGTGTGAGATGCATTGCAATAAACATGGGTGGTCTATTTTCCCCATGTCGTCTGGTAAAAAGTTTCAAGCATCTGGAACTTAATATAGGCCTATTATAGTACCTAAAATGATAATGGTGAATTATGCTTAAAGCACATAATTAGAACCACAAGCACGCGATAATATTAATGAACAAATATCGAACATCTACCCTGTATAATTCTCTTCAAATGTACGTATCACGTATATATTGACAACAAAACGTCGACCAAAACCCTTTGACCCCAAGCCAAAAGTTCAATATGAGCACTTCGTTTCATGTAGGCAGTATACAGGCTTTTATTACTCTGGTTGGATTCCCGAGCAGTCTGGTCTCAATCTCTGTCTCGTCGTTTATGAACAGCAATTGTGGTACCTTTCTTTCAGAGCTTTTGGCTGTCTTCAGTCTATAGGATATTCATTGTCTGAGATTACATATTTGAAGAGACTGATACTCGGAGCTCTCCTCTGTGTACACCCTGGTCTATAAATATGGTGTAGCCTATAATTTACTTATATTTATAGTGTGGTTTGAAATATTCGTTGCATTTCTGTTAAATGCGTGCATGTAAATTTGTTGAAATAAAAAGATCAGCCTGGTGATTGTTTCCTTTCTCTCTTTATGGCCTAAAAAGGGACCTAAAATAAATATTTAATTTCTATATATATCTATCATTTCAAACCAAAGATATCAAGCTATGACAGCGTGGAAATTCAAAGTTGCCATTCTGAAGAAAGACTGAAAAAAGTATTTTGAGGTTCCCCCCTTAATTTAAAAGTAAAGGTAAATTTATAGCTCTAATTAAACTTAATGTAAGCATTTTATTATATTGTAGACCTATTATGTTAATATGATCGTTTTGCTGTAGAGGTAGCCAACACTACATTTCAGTACTTTTGCAAAATCCTATATTTGGGCTGCGTTTGTATTTGGTTAAAAGCGAACGGGTCATTGAACCGTGCACGACAAAAAACAGAGTCTGTGGTCTAAGCCGCATTATTAAACCTGTGCTAGAGACATAATTAAATAATTGGCATATGCATGTTGCATGTTATTTTTCAAAACATTGAATTCACTCAAAACATCAGAACATTAACAAATGTTTCATGTAAAATGTAGGCATATATGTCAATTAGCATTATTTTAATATGAAAACAACAATAGGCCTATGCTCTGGCAACGAGTAAAAGACACTGAACGCTGACAATTAGGTTCACTGGCGTTTTGCAGTCATATAATGCAATAACAAAATCTTGTTAACTTCCCAAGAACCATATCGCAACCCAAGAACCCCACAGAACAAAAATGGTTCTAAATAAAAGGGAACCATTAATGTTGCGAACTTTATTTTCTTTGTGTCCACAAAATATGAAACTCAAAAAGGGCTACGGATCAAGCAGGGCTCTTTATGTTGTTATACATCTTAGTTTTTTTATAATGCTTTAAAATGTATGTATTTTTCGTTGTCACAATAAGCAGGGCATGAAGACATCTTGAAACCACACATTTTTAAAAGCATTTATTTTAAGAAAAAGAATCAAACGGGTATTGAGGCCTGCTATGCAGAAGTTAGCATTTTCTTTAGGCTGCGGGTGTGGGCTCAGACAGACCTAATTAGCGCGACACATTGTTTATAGAATTTTCAAAAACGGAACCATTCCAAATATTATAATTCTATCAGACATTTTATGACGCTTTCATCCATTACGAAAAGCATATTTTTCACCTTTCTGAGATTATCTAGAATAGATCATAATCTAAAACAATTACGAAAAGCATAGTTCTAACGCTTCTGAGAATAGACCATAATCTAAAACAATCTCGTGTGAACAACTCTATATATAGTTGTAATGTAATCCTAAATTAACAGAAAAGCGAAATAAAAATTCCAAACCTATTATACCACAATTAGACATTTCATTTAAACTTCTGTGGGCAAATAGCGGCGTCTCATTTACGTGTTTAATATTATTTGAATGCTATAAATGACGATAATACTCTTGAAAGACTATAGCTATAATATAAAAAAATAGTTGTATATATTTGAATAAAATATTTTTCTATTTAAAATATACAGCTAACGAATAGGCGTAAATATGAAATGGTTTATGAATACGTCGTTTTATTAGGCTATATTTATATTCCATATAATTCATATAAATCTATACCATTTGAATTTCATTTTCTCTTATTTGTGTAAGGCAAGCTAAAGACTGTGTGAAATCACTCATTTCAAAACATAAAGATGCTTATGAAGATTAGATTCATTTAAGTTTTCAGTAGATAATAACGAAAACAATACTTTGTTACCCTAAATTAACAATGCATAACTAAAAAAAATAAAATAAAAAATACACTGGGTTATATAGGCTATATTTATGAGTAGCCGTCTATTAAACAAAACTGTAGCTTTCTTTACAAATTAAAAGTATGTTGAGTTGTAGACTATCCTAATAAAAACGAATTAACATTTAACCGAATATAGAGGGAGTGCGACGTAAAAAAAAAATTATATATATATATATATATATATGTTAGGCTACACTCTATTTTAATTTAGTTATAATCAAAACATGTTAACAACTAAGCTGTTAAGAAATAGAAATAATTCTGTATGTATACCTCGTATGCTGCTTTTAGGGCCTTTCTGGACAACATGCACTGGTGGGCTTCAAGAGCATGTCCTTCTCGAGGGTATCACCCACAGACCATGCTCGGTCACTTTTGGGTTATACTGTTTTATTGCCCCAATAAATGTCGGAAATAAGTGTTTGTTCGTAGATACAGGAAGCAATTCTTTCCTCCACGCATGTTTAGTGCTGTAAAAAGCTTTCACGTTCCATTTGTCTATTCTTCTCTTAAAGCTACCTTACAAAAGAACGCAAACCAGTGAGAAAATGGGAATGGTGCTCTTTTATATTAGTGTAATTGGTTTATTTCAGTTTTAGCCACAAATTGGTCAAAAGAGCCCCTTTTCTGTAAATGGTTCGTTTTTATATATTACACATTTTGTTCATGCGCCTGTTTAATTAAACATTGCAAAACCTTTGTGCAGCTTGACTATGAACTATATCTAAAATCGAAATCTAAAATTCCAGTAGCCTATAATAGACTTCTTCTTCGAGTAAAAAAATAATGCGATAGCTTATATTTCTGTGGTTGTTAATGAAGTGAAGGCGTGCTTTTTTCTCTTTTAACGAATAAAAATGGCGGCGACCGAGTTGCTGCTGAAGCAAAGCAATAAACTCACAGCTGTTTATGAAAATTTACAACTTTGTGATAGAACTTTATGTGTGGTTCTGCCAGTGGATTGGCTGACAGAGGTCACGTGAACAGCTCTCTGTGAACATGAACTTTTTATGATTTCCCAAGTGCCTATAATGCAGCATTCTTTTGGTCAGGGCGCAGAGTCAGTAGTACCTCTGTCCTTTATGTGTTTTACGTTTTGTTAAAGCAGAGGGAAAGACAAATTCTCCTGAGCTGGGCGAATGGTGTGCGTTAATATGGATGGAAAGCTCGACGTCACGCTAGTACGAAGCGTCTTTAGATTTTCACATCAGCGAAGAGTGCAAGGGTCAAAATTCACTGAGGACCTTAGTTCATTCTTCTCTAATTTGTCAAGTTTTAGCTATGTCTGTTTTACCAGTACATCCAATAATACGACGCGTGATCCTGGTTAATCGACGTTGGGATCATTCCAGTGAAGCGATGATGGACGGGGAAGGAAAAGGTAGGACTGGACCTATAGGCTTCTGTAGCCTACTCTACTTATCCCAGCGATAGCATGATGCAAAGCGTTAATATATAATAAAAACACATTCAAGGTTCAGCCAGAGTGGGTCTACAGTGAGCAAGTACTCGACAAATGCAAGTCTGTGAATGGTTAATGCTTTGGGTGTAATTTTATATGGTCTTTGCTAATTTTGCTTATTTTTTTTCTCTGCTCTTTTTGACCTTGGACTGAAACTGTATGATGTCCTTGTTAATAGGCTTTCTTTCTTTCTTTCTTTTAATCAACATAGCTAATACAATACTATATAAAACAGAAAGAAAGAACGAGCTGTTTTGTATTCATTTAGAAAGTAAGGAAAAACTAAAAACATACATAGCATTTACTTAATCAGACATTTATTGTTATTGTTATTATTATGATTATGACGACAAAAGAATGGCTGTTAAGAATATGAGGATGACCCAAGGGATAGGCCTAAACTCACAACAATAACGTCATCGTGTAGGCTACTTACCTAGCTGCAGCCCATCGATATTCAATTTCAGCCAGAGTGGGTCTACAATGAGCAAGTACTCGACAAATGCAAGTCTGTGAATGGTTAATGCTTTGGGTGTAATTTTATATGGTCTTTGCTAATTTTGCTTATTTTTTTTCTCTGCTCTTTTTGACCTTGGACTGAAACTGTATGATGTCCTTTTTAATAGGCTTTCTTTCTTTCTTTCTTTCTTTTAATCAACATAGCTAATACAATACTATATAAAACAGAAAGAAAGAACGAGCTGTTTTGTATTCATTTAGAAAGTAAGGAAAAACTAAAAACATACATAGCATTTACTTAATCAGACATTTATTGTTATTGTTATTATTATTATTATGACGACAAAAGAATGGCTGTTAAGAATATGAGGATGACCCAAGGGATAGGCCTAAACTCACAACAATAACGTCATCGTGTAGGCTACTTACCTAGCTGCAGCCCATCGATATTCAATAATACCAAGATCAATTTTTATTAATTTACAAAACAGAATGGTGATTAATGGTTAGCTTTTTCTGAGAGGTTTCCTTTTGTCTTAACTAAAGGCTTAACTTAATAGGCTACGTAAATATTTAAATTCAAAGAATGTTTAATTTATTTGTTTTTATTAATTTGGTATTTCATTGACACTAGACGTTACGTTTTTTCAAATAAAACGTAGGCTAAGTCCGTTCTATAATTGTGTTATATAACCTTGACGTTGTTTATTTCAAGCAAGAGGGCAACAAAAACAACATGGAATTAGCTGAATTTAAAATATTAGTGGTGGCGTTGTTTTAATCTTGGATCAATGTTTAGTTTGTATTTATCTTCTACATATTTAGCATTCATGCATTGTTTTTATTGATATAGAAAAATAACTTTTTATGTCCAGTGTGGTAATGTATTGCTGAAGCAGGTATTCATGGTGATTTCACTAAATAGTCTATGTATGCTGCGCCTCTGGAGAAAAATTGGACTGTATTTAGGTATTTAAACGGCGTGAAAGCCATTTATATGCTACGGTAAACTAGATAGATAGATAGATTTTAATGGTTTAGAATGATTTTCAGGGCCTATTCAAAATATGCAAGTTATGAAGTCTTCTTTGTAAATTAGCGTATTGCAGTTGTCTAAATGTATTTATTTATTTAGTCAGAGAATGCGCTGAAGGTCTCAACAACGGTATAGTATGGTATTATTTAATACATAAAGAGTGTAAAGGTCAGCGCAAGTTCGTGTTGGAGAGGAAAAAACTGTCACGTCTGTGCGTCTCTGAAATTCTCTTGTGCACATGAATTGAGCCAATTATGTCTGCGTACAGATTTGGCACATTTTCAGCAATGGACATTTTTGAATGAAGACAAAGTCGAAATGAAAATAACGTGTATTTGAAAATGAGGTTTGCATAATTTTTCGATTGAGCAAAATTAGAAAATGTGGAGGGAAAATTAATTATTAACCTCATACTCCTATAGAATAATAATTTATGTATGCCTATATCATTGCATTATGTTTCTATATGTTGTTGTTGTTTTTCGGAAAACGGTGAAAAACACTTGCGTCTGAGTCTTCTGATATGCCCTGGGGATTCCATTCTGTGCAACAAGAGGGCCCCCACCTTACACGTTATCCTGTAGTCAGAAGTGCTCAGGATTGGTCAGGCACTGATCAGCTGGTCCGTTTCCCCGCGGTCTCAGATTGGCACCTCGCCACCCCCCTTCGGCTAAAACCAAATCTCAGATAAAGTAATGGCAAAAACCACTTGGACTATAAAACACAACAAATCATAACACTCGGACAATAACACTGGCCACCCCATGAGTTCCTATTTCGTCAACTCAACTTTTCCCGTGTCTCTACCCGGAGGACAGGAGTCTTTCTTGGGTCAGATACCGCTATATTCCTCTGGATATACAGATCCTTTAAGACATTATCCAAGCGCTACGTTCGGAGCTACCAATGTCCAGGACAAGGTTTACACCTCCTCGTATTACCAGCAAGCTGGGGGCGTTTTGGGGAGAAGCGGATCCACCAGTGCTTGTGACTACACAACACCCAACATTTACCGAACCGCGGACCGCTCGTGCGCTATCGGAGGTCTGGAAGACTCGCTGGTCCTAACCCAAGACCAGTGCAAGACGGACTGCACTGAACAGGGTGCAGAGAGATATTTTAACAGTGAAGACAAACCGTGTACACCGGTTTACCCGTGGATGCAGAGGATGAACTCGTGTAATGGTAAGACACGTTTGCGATTTCGCAGTTTTGCATGTCATAGAAGTAGGGGCGCAATTTACATTAGGCTAATTTCCACTATACGACTCTGTAAACACATAAAAAGAAGACACATATATAATGAAGAGGCATAGTCTGCAGTCTTTAGAAAAGTTATACCCAGGCAAAACAAATTGCCAATGGATGCAGTAAGCTGCGTCCTGAATATTGCGCTTTTAATCAACCCGATGCGTAAGTTCTTCCACGTTTTTATTAGATAAGCTATTAGAGTAAAATAAACTCCACTCAGTGACGTTTATCAATGACCTTTAATAGAATTTCTTAAAACATTTCACCCTCACATGTGGATAAAATGTCAAAATATGATGTCAGTGCAGTAATAACATTTATCGTAATAATGATAATGATGACAATTGCAGCAATGTTCTTTGGTTATTTACGTTGGCCTGTTTGTATATAGGCTACTGGATGTTCATCTAGTGTGTCGTCTTTCACTTTTTTTGACAGGAATGCCTGGCAGCACTGGCCGCAGGGGTCGTCAAACCTACACTCGGTTTCAGACTCTTGAACTGGAAAAGGAGTTCCACTTTAACAGATATTTGACAAGAAGACGAAGAATTGAAATATCGCACGCTCTGTGTTTGACGGAACGACAGATTAAGATATGGTTCCAGAACCGTAGAATGAAATGGAAAAAGGAGAATAAAGTGCTGAACTCCGCAAAGGTCAGCGAAGAGGAGGATGGTGAAAAGGCGGAATAAATGTTAAAAAAGGAGCTTATGACGAAGCCCTAGAAACATTGTACATAACATGTAGCCTGTAGTTTTAATTCATAAGTACTGGTCTGTCCAACAAGGAAAACACTACCTAATAAGTTTTATGTTGACATAAAAAAGCTTCAAGAGAAGACTTTCTTTTTCATTAAAACAGGCGTCTGAATCACCTCTGTAAAGATGGTAAAAGATATATGGGAGGTGCTTTTACCACTGTTATATATTTTGCGGTATCTGGCCTATTTAAACTAAGACAAATGTTTTCTCGCTGTTTGAACATTCTAATGCCTATAATTGGAAAGAAAACACAAATTCAAAGTTTAAAACTTTTGGATTAATGGTCTTACATTGAGTATGTTTTTAAGTCCGTTGTGTGCTAAAAAAGAGAAGAAAATGGGACATTTTGATGCTTAATTTATTGGGTCATGACTTTTGTGTATGTGTATGTGAATGCAGCAATGTCATTTTGTCAATAAAATGATTGTTTAACAAGTAATGTTGTTTTATTTTTCTTTATATGTACATGGGCATCTGGTATAACGAGCCAGAGACATTTTATTATCAGCCTTATGCGTTGGTGTAAGGCACTCTTCAAACATAAAATCTTTGATCTGATAGACATCTGCTATAGCCTATCCTATATTATAAATATATATATTTGTTAATTTCCATCTCTTCACTGCTCTGTGAAACTAGCTGTGCTGGTAAAACGGGCCAGTTTGATAGTAGCCTATAAGAATCTCGCCAGTTGTAGCCTATCTTTTTCTTTTTCTTCTTCTTCTTCTTCTTCTTCTTCTTTTACCCTTGTAAATATACATCTTGGTTTGCCGATTAAAACTAGGTTGACTAACCTATGTTTAGTAAGACACATACTCATATCACTGAATGACAGCATAAAGTCGCTGAAGCACACAAGATTGCTTTGAGAGTCTTAATCATTTTGCAAACGACGTGAAATATTCACACTTTGCCTTAATTTATCGTACAATTTGTTTGTAAATGCGACCTAGTTCTATGCAGAATAAGCACAGTGTTACAAATTTATGTAGTAAAAAGGCTTCACGAAATGGGCAGGTGTTTGGTCATTTTACAGTTCTCCCAGTAGGTGACGCCCTCCGCTAACGTGGGATATGGCGCGCGATGGGGAGGCACCATTGAGTTGAACCTAACGATCATCATTTCGTCATCATTTGTAACCATAGAGCATGAATTACCTCTTGAAGTCATCAGAGAGAATTTACGACTGGTCAACAAAGGCACGTGATGCCCTAACGCTCTCCCATATTTGGCCGCATACATGGCAAAAACGAAGTACAGTGCATTGCTATAATTCATTATTACATCATAAATTGTGCTGCGCTGGATTTTAACGACCAAGATCTACAAATCAAGACATTTTAAAACATCCAAATGAGCTCTTATTTTCTAAACTCGTTCTCAGGGCGCTATCCAAATGGGTCTGACTATCAGTTACTAAATTATGGTACTAACGGCGCTATGAACGCTTCTTACAGAGACTCCACCAGCATGCATTCCGGGTCTTTCGGTTACAACTACAATGGAATAGACCTTAGTGTAAATCGTCCCAACAATGGCCATTTCGGAGCAGTTGGAGATAATTCTCGCGCTTTCCAAAATCCGGGTCAGGAGACCCGGTACAGACAGTCGAGCTGCTCGCTCTCGTCTCCAGATCCCCTGTCTTGTGCCACCAGCGAGTCTCTGGAATTGAAGGGTTCATCTCCTCTACCTGATCAGAGCACACCAACTGGCAACAGCAGACTCACCAACAGCAACAATCTCACCAGCAGCAACGGCACACATTTTGCGGACACAGACGAGACCAATGTCTCGTCCGAGACCGAGGAAGGAGCACAGACCACCACCACACATACGCAGAAGCAAGAATCTGTGGCGAGCTCGACTACAACACCTAACGACGGTCAAACTCCACAGATATTCCCATGGATGAGGAAGCTGCACATTAACCATGGTATGCACAGCTCTATTATGTCTTATTGAGGCATGATAAAATGAAATTATTTTGAGGATGACAGTTCATGAAGTAAGTTTAGGTTATGCGTAGTTTAAATGCATGTTTTACTCTTCAGATTTTCATATTCGTTTAATAGCCTGCTAATGTTTGTCTTACAAAACAGTAATGCTTAGACAGACCATTAGTTCCACCTAAGTATAGGTTAAATTGAGAATAACCACTCTCTGGGAAGTGACTGCATGTGGAATTATTGTGCAGCAGTAAAGCCATAAAATGCAATGGTAGCCTAAACTGCACGTCGCCTTGAATATAGCCTAGTCTAGAATCAGCCAGCAGTCCAATATACAAAATGTAACGGACATTTAAGTCCATTTGAGTTTGATGGCTTGGTGATGTTTGCTTATTATCTCTTTGCCCTTGCTTATGCCAGATATGACTGGACCTGATGGAAAACGGGCTCGAACAGCTTACACTCGCTACCAGACGCTCGAGCTGGAGAAAGAGTTCCATTTCAATAGATATCTCACGCGCAGGAGGAGAATAGAGATAGCGCACGCTCTCTGCCTCTCAGAGAGGCAAATTAAAATCTGGTTCCAAAATCGCAGGATGAAATGGAAGAAGGACAATAAACTGAAAAGTATGAGTCTCGCTACGGCGGGGAGCGCATTTCAAAATTGATCAAATCATTTCACAATAATTGGAAAATTCGACTACTGTTACAGCGCTGCACCTTTCAGCTTGTTGATATCACCTGACGACGTGTGATTCCCCCATGCAGCTCAAAATTGTCAGCTTTTGAATATTGTTATCACATATGCTAAACTAGTTACAATTGCCATAAAATGAGTGTGAATGTCAAGTGTCAAGTTTATACATTCGTGGAGGAAAGCATGTTCCATGTGAGCTATTCGTGCAACGTATTCTAGACCTGTTACAAGAATTATGTACAGTACAACTCGCACTACCTAACTATCCTAAGCGATAGTGTAAAAAAAGAGAAACTTTTGTTGTATCCTTGAACTTGTATTGAAACGTCATGTATTATTCACGCAACATGCTATATTCTTGTTATGTGCCGGGCTTTTTTGATTTCTCGTGGATGATACCTGCGAGAAAAATAATCTTTTCGCACTTACATTTGTGTACTTAGGCTGCAGCACAAGATTACTTTGGGCTCGTGAGATGTCCTATGAAGAATGTCTTTATACAGTAGTGACCAATATGTTATTTGTAGTGCACAACGTGAGTTATGGACGTTCTGTGTTAAAAGTTGGAGAAAAATGTTTTGTCATTGACATGTTGATGGTATCTCTGCCATTTTTTGTATTTGTGTCTAAACTATAAATGAGTTGATCCAAAAGAAAAATAAAGTTTTCTCTCAGTCATTCATGAAAGTCTCTGTTTGTATGTAGGCCTGTTTGGTTAGTGATCCCAACGTTGGATCGGCAGTTGTTCTCATTTTACCCACCAGTATTTTACACTTGAAATAAATATTTTGCTCTTAAATGAAAGCTATTGGTGTTAATGTGTTCTATTGCATATGACTAATACAAAAAATAATTGCCCATTCAGTTTTTGCTGCGCTCTGCGAGGACATTTTAGATCTCGTATGGCTTATAATATGGCAATATTCAAACTCAGCTCTTCTGTGTCACATCACAACAATAACTCAACCCCTCAACTTACCTCGCAGTGCTAAGAGCGGATGATCAGAACGATATCTTTACAGGTTATTTTAACAATCAGCATTATTTGTATGAAACAACATACAAATCATCTACCCCGACTATTTTCTTCTGAAGTCCAGTACATAACACCGACATGAAGCTCTTGGTAGCTCTAAAACAAGTCACGTGAGGTCCATAAAGTTAGTTTTATGGTTTTAGGGGGGTTGACAATGTGCTACATAATTCACATTCTTGAATGTAACTGACTGTTTAACTGCTTCAGCGGGATTCTAAAGGTTGTGGGCATCATGCGGAGTCTTCTCAAACTGGACAGTCGTAATATCCAATGCTGACTTGTCAACAAGCATTTCCATAATATTTCTGCTGGATGATGTGAAACGTTAAGAAGTCTTCTCTGTAGTTCTCAAGTAAGTCTCTTCCTTGGCTTCAGATGGTCATTTAATTAATTGTTTTCAAAAGAGGATCACGCATTTTAGCCAGTGTACAATTTCGTTCTAAGATTTGTAAGTGTCAGACAATGTAGACTTGTTAGATTTACGTAGCCTATTAGGCTATTCAATGATAAAAATAAATTTGTAAACTTCGATTAATTTTACTCGGTCAAAATGGGGGGGATCATGTTTTGCTGCATATTTCTCAACCAATAAGTGCTAGGTTGGCCCGGTTGAATATTGTATTTTTTCGAAGCTATTTTTTCGTGGATTATGGAATATATGTCCTTATACATTCATGAATACCTGCAGAGATGGATTTTAAAATTCTTTTTTTTTTTTTTTTTAATGTAACGAAAAATTAAGAATAGTAACATTTTCTGTGGCTAAATAAAACAGACATAGAGGTGTTATGCCGATTGTGTTGTATTCCATGGTAAATTGTGTAATGGTACGCCTATCAATCAAGCAATCTGAAAAATTACAGATGATTTTTGTTCTACCCACTTTGATGTGTTTGCCTATTAGGCTATTGTATGTCTGGACTTGTCTGGATAAGTGTAACAGTTTGGAGATAAGAGAATTTGGTTTGTATTTTTGTAAAAAAAAAGAAAAAAGAAGAAGATAGTGTGGCTGTAACTACAATTTGCTCGTGATAGAAACGGTTCCTCGATTCATAACTATTAAAGTCCCATTTTACCCCTATAATGTGTTTTGCATATTGATAGGGGTAATCTGGGCGCTGTTCTCATCAATTATTCATTGGGAAGGGATCACTCCGAGGTCAGGAGACGAGAGTGGCACACATGCCTTCCCAGAGAAGCACAGGATGCATGCCAAACCGACAAGCTGGTAATCCTACGCAGTTCTGAAACACATTTTCGCTCAACAGTCAGTACTGTCTAATTCTCCTAAAGACATTTTTGTACCCTACTGTAACGACATCTTTGGGAGGGACAGACTTTGTTAGAAGATTTGTACGAGCAAGTAAATTGATAAGTCGATGCAACGCTAAAAAGAGATTATTTTAATAGTTCTGCTATTATGAATACCATTTTGCTTGAATCGTAAATAAAACAATGTCTGTGAACGGCTAATTTTGTTGCTAGTAAGATTGATGTAATGTTGCTTCATCACCAGCAGGGCCCGCCTCACACCGAGCTCCCGATCTGTTCTTACTCATTCTGCATAGCTGGACATTCGGATGCTTCGGGTTTTTCATGAAAACAAAATTCCGTGAGAAAAAAGCCGTGAAAATGGAAATCTTTTTCAGTGGGGCAGTTCAAAATGTTCATATTTGTTTTCGTTTCTTGAGTTTGGTGTGTGATCCAAGTCTAAACAATATGTGACCCTGGACCACAAAACCAGTCTTAAGGGTCCATTTTTGAATAAAAATTAGGCTAACTGAATAAATAAGCTTTCCATTGATGTATGGTTTGTTAGGATAGGACAATATTTGGCTGAGATACAACTATTTGAATATCTGGAATCTGAGGGTGCAAAAAAAATCTAAATATTGAGAAAATCGCCTTTAAAGTTGTCCAAATGAAGTTCTTAGCAATGCATATTACTAATCAAAAAATAAGCTTCAATATATTTACGGTAGGAAATTTACAAAATATCTTCATGGAACATGATCTTTACTTAATATTCTAATGATTTTTGGCATAAAAGAAAAATCTATTATTTTGACCCATACAATGTATTTTTGGCTATTGCTACAAATATGCCCGTGCTACTTATGACTGGTTTTGTGCTCCAGGGTCACATATTGTTATAATAGCCTATTAAATAAACTACGAGGAATCATAAAATAAATAGCCATGAGAATTAGTGAGAAAAAAACCCAACAGCATGGTATAAATACTAATAGTGGAAACGTTCAAATATCAACGCTATTATTAGAATATTAAAAATGAAAACAAACCGTGACAGTGCGTGGCATGGTGAAGTATCTGAGTTCATGCTGAGGTCACAGTGTTCTGTGATTGCTGGCATCATTCTCAGCTTTTGTTGCAATGGCAAAACATAAATACAAATTGAAAGCATTGACTGAAATCTCAGATATAAAATTATTGTATGATGTACTATTTCAAATGCTATTTTTTGTTCGAAAATCAAATATATAAATAACCATGCAAATAAACATGCTGCTAATTTTGCCATTTAAAAACATTGCTTTTTCTATTATTTTTAGTTAAACTGAATTTAAAAAAATGATTCTGGGTGAATATTTAATTAGTGGTCTGTTTCAGAGGTCTGTTTGTACTCGATAGTAGTGCGATCCCACGTTCAGGAAGCACTAATCGAAATGTGCAGCAGCAGGATGCCTAATGAAGTTGATAAACGATATTTCGCTTAAGGTTATCTTGAATCTTTCATCTTTAATCGATCGTTATGCGCCCAAAAGGTTGTGTGATGTGTCCAGTGAAGCTGTTGGAAGGCTAGTCCTGCAGAGACACACACGAAATGAAAGTCCGAAAGAAAAAAGCCATGTGCTCAATACGTAAAATTTTACAAATGGATTTACAATGTGAAAGTATGTTTACTGGAGGCAAAGAAAATGTAGAGACAACGTGAAACAAGACGGGGACCACCGTTTGTGCAAAACAGTGAGGCATGTAGTAAGTTTACCTATCTCTTTAATAATGCACAGTTTGATAATCCAGAGCTAAAGAAGTTGGATTAGAAATATTGAAGTATATGGGAAAGTAAAACAAATAACTGAAGTGGGAATGATGCACAATTATGTCTGGTGATACTGGGTGAAAATATGAAAATTAACTCTGTCTATGCTCAAGTAACAGTTGTTGTTTTCCACGAATTCACAGTAAAAAGTAACGTTTGTTTTCTTAACAAAACTGAACAATACCGATGATGTCTGTCATTTATATATACCCTGTAGATCCGAATTTGTGTGAATAGATAGTCGCAAATTCGTGTCTTGGGGAGTATGTAGTTGACATAAACTCAACGCCATAGTGGAATTGTGGATGCACTTTATCTATCTATCTATCTATCTATCTATCTATCTATCTATCTATCTATTGGAGACATGCTTTGAAAAAAAAACTAAACATTTGATGGTCTTGAACATTAGACACCTGATGGCGCTACATCATGTCATACGGTGACAAATGCTGTCCATCGACAACATGCAAAATTTAGGCTACTCCAATTTAATAGTTCTGCAGGATCACTCACGTAAAAGTTTTGTTCACCGTTCTGTTTCTTTTTCGCTATCTAAAACCATGTAAATTGTATTTTTCCATGTTTTCAGAGGCAGACAATCAAAATGCTGAATGCCTCATATAACGCACAGGCTCAGTAACATTTATGAAAAAATTATATAGCCTAACAATTCAAGAATAATAATAAACGACAATATTTTTGAGTGTGATGTTTCTGTGGTTTGACAAAGAGTTTTGCTGTGTTATTTATATGCTGATTTTACTTTCTTTTATTTTTCTAGCAACAAGTGTAGGCTATCCCAATAAGACTACATGTGACCCTTTGAGGACACATTTTCCACGTGTCATTCATCAAACGGACAGCCTGCAGACAATCAGAAGAAGGAACATGACAAGAAACAGGTAATTTTCACATCAGGAAATACTGTCAGATGTCAACTGAATTTACATTTGTTTTTAGATTACATAATGCATAAACGAGTCAGGCTATGTCTACATGCTTGAATTAAATAGCCTTCTTTTTCACTCTTTCGTTGATACAAAAGGTATAGTTAAATCACGACGAATAGTAAAGAGGTGGATGAAATAAGTGGAAAGATACTGGTTCCGTATCCCTTATTTGCCATATCACGTGATTCATTAAATAATTAATGAAGAGGCTGCAGAGCAGAAAGGCAACGCAGCCAATTCGTCAAGACTGGCTTTTCGCCGAGCCAACTTGTTTGAGTTTGGGAGAAATTTTGGGGCTTTTTTCTTCACAAGAAGCTATCCTCAGAGGGAGATTGTAGGAGCAACCGCACAAGCACCACACATTGTGAGTAAGCTTATCTTTAGATCTAAAGCTTGTGGATACTTACTGTAGTTGCTGGGAACGGTCTTGTCTCCTGACTCGAAGAAAACATGTAAAGGCCAAAATTGAGATGCATATTATTTTTTCACTGCTCTATTATGAATAAAAATTAATCGGTTATTCTTGTATAAAACACTACATTTTTCAGCCTGTTATTACAACTAGATTACAAATGTTATTTGTTCACTGCGAAAAATGTTTTATGTGACATTTTCTTTAAGTACCTATACGTTTATTCTTATGCAGACACGGTATGTAAATAATCCCCCATAATAATGCAGGGTTTTGTGTATGCTCTTATATATTTTATAAGGCTGTACAATAACAGACTACGCCCATATAAATAAGTTAGTCCATCTAGATGATTAATGAAATGGTCGTTACATTAAATTATATTGTTGTAGGCAGTACATCACTGCGTCAAGGACTGGTAATATGGTAAAATGATTAAAGATGAATTGTTAAGGCCTAGATGGGCTCGTCTGGTGGTGACTAGGCTATGCCCAGTTTAGGCCGTCTATGACGAACCCTGCTACAGTGACATGAGCAAAGTAATGGAACACTAGAGATCAACTTGAGAGATCAAAGGCTCCTGGACCTTTGGGGAATTGATCGCAGGACCGTCCCAAGACAGCGGCACTCTCTCATCTTCAACATCACTAATTACAATATCATGCACGAATAATTCGAAACAGATGTCCCCTTCCCCTTTACAAGCGTTTACAACAGTTTTATGGTAAAGATGTTAGCTGACATATTAAAGCACCTAAAACATTTAATGGTTCTTGTGAATTTGGTTGCAAAGGTAGCCTATACCTTCCAAACAGTTTCAGGACTCATGATCTTTCTGCAGAGAAGACGTTTCAGTTGTCATAACTATATCCTATACTCTCTCTCTCTTTCTCGTGTGTATATGTAAGCTATGTGTTGTAATAAAAAAATCATATAGCCTAGCAGCATCTGTATTATACGTAGCCTATACTTCAACTTCCAATTTACACAACACATTATCAACCTATTTAATTGAAAAGAGAGCACACATGCCTTCATTCTTGGTTCGTGGTAAACGCTCTTGATCGTTTGTACCACGTCAATACCGCTTCAGAGCAACATCCTGATCTTGCTTAATTTTTGTTTGTTTCGCAGTTCAATTTATATTGATTGCTAACTCCAAGAGACATCCTTCTTTGCCTCCATCAGCTTTTACATTCAAGACATCTGTAATCCTCTAGGACGTTTTCCTTTCAGCAGTCTGATATTGTTGGTTTAAAAAGAATATGCATTGGCTAATAAAGCGTATTTTTGTTTCGTTATGACGTGTTCTTTTTATCTAAAGTGTGTCTGATTAGTGTAGGGTCACATTATCTTGTAATTGTACCGAGATCTTCTACAGTTTTTACCCGTAAATTTGATTCACTCGATCCTTTGGCTTGTATCACTTATAGGTAAGCTTATTTTGCGCTTTTATCGTCATATCATGGAGAGGTAAATATTTTGATTTATATTCTACATATAAAAAGGACATAACTCATAGCCTACTGAATGACACAGTAGGACTTCGGAGTAGAGCTGAAAATATAATCAGTGGCTGTTATTAGCATTTTATTAATATTGTTTATTAATCATTATTTTTTAAAACATTGTTGATTAGTGAATTAGCCTGTGCACTTACATAAAATATATTTATTAAATGTCCCTCTGATTTGTGACTTGATGCCAGCTCTCCACGGAATCAGGCTGCTGAAGAATAAGCTTACAGTTTGTGAATGGCGGAGGATCTGTCCGGGTGATTAATCGTCCTAGTGCTTTGGCTAAGGTTCAAGACGAGTTCACTGGGCTTTGAGCGTTTTTCTGTACCACTGCACACTCCCCTTCCCATTGTTTTTTCCAACTAGTCTCTTTCTTATTTATTTATTTTTATTTTAGTTTTGCAGTTACGATTAAAAAATACAGTGAAATGCAGTTTGTAATTTCAAATACCCACCATTTTCTTATTTTAAATGCTTTAGCTTTTATTTTCCATAAAAATGGACGGAGCCTAAATATCAGTTTATATTGTTTAAATGATTTTAAATGGGGCTCTTGCTGTACATTCGGGGAAAAAATCATTCAAGAGCATTATTGTTTTGGCCTGATTCGTGATTAGCTTTTTTTTTCCAAACGCTGTTTTTTGGATGAATGAAGTCTTCCCTTTTTTAATAGAAAAAAAGAAACGTATACTGTCTAAATAAAACGAGGATAAGAAGTGCACATGGCTACATACAATAAATATGTCGAATTATTTCGACACCCTGAATTCAATTTGTTTTACCTTGGTGTAACCTACCTAAAAGAAAAAATAATTAAAAGGAAAATATGTTTTCAATATTTAAATGACATTGTATAAGATTTCTCATTTTCTTTATGCCATTTGTTTGTCTATGTAGGCCTATTTATATTTGGTCATATTTCTATGGCCGAATATCAGCTAAAATAGTTTAAAATACATTTTTATATTGCATTTAGCTTCTTTTGAGTTTGTGATTTGTTCACACTGCATAACACTGGACAGCCTAATTTTAAATAATATTATGCAGCTTATATCATGAAGAAGAAAACCTTTTTTTTTGTCAGTAGTAAGATATTCTGGTTTCTGGCAGTGCGTACTCAAAAGAGACACTATTCATATCTTTTTTCTTTTTAGTTGCGATGATGGATTCGTGTTCTCTGACTCACACCGTGTTGCTCTGACCCTGCAGGTCATCTTCCAGCGGGCCTCCGGAACCATACTGGCACATGACACGAGAGGCCAGAGTTTCGCTAAACCCCCAGAAAGGACCGACATAACTGATGAAATCCGGCCAGAAAATGCAGATAACGAACAACAACAAGAAAGTGTCTCACAACGTCGCGGATTTATTTGTAACAAAGTCGTCATGCCAAACATATTGGGCCAGCGACCGCAAAAGACCAACTTGTACAGTGAAATGGAATACTGAACGAGAAAAAAAGGGGACGTTCAAACAAGGGGGAAATGTACACCGTCCTCAATCAAGACAGTACTAGCTCGTCAGTGTTTCTTCCTGCAAACTACCGGAGATAACTGAAAGAATCAACAAGTTTACTGTTACTGTATTACTAACCCAGATTTTCTTGGATGACAGAATTCAAGCAAACGCCACAAAGAGGAGCGCGGCTTCAAGGTGAGTAACAGTTTAGAAATCCAAATTAAATGATTTACCAGCAACTTAAATAACGATACACAATTATCATTTTGGCATAAGAAATGTTAGCTAAAATCATATCAGTGTGTAAAATATGTATTCGAATAATAAAATAGGCCTATTCATTCAAATGTTGTTGATGCAAATTTTATCCTAATGTAAACATTTCATATGCCCTTCAACAGCGCAGGAGCGACAAGAAAGCCCCGCTGGGATTCATTGCCTCAAAAAGAGCACATAGGCTACTGCTTTACAAGTGACCAGCTAGAGCTTGAGAAGTTCCACTTCAGCATGTTTGTGCATGCGGAGACCTGGGGAAATGGCCAGTTTACTCAAACTTACTGAGAAGAAAATACAAATCTGGTTTCAGAACCGGAGGTGAGACAAAAAAGACTGTAGGCTGAAAATAATGTCTCTCTTAGCTGGACCATCTCTGATCAACAACCCACCACCACCGTCTTAAGTGAAGCTTCAAGAGATTTATTTATGCATAACATCTACAGTGCCTCAGGTGAAACGTCCTTCCGCAAATATGACAAGAGAAGTAGGCTATATCTATATTATCCAGTATACATTATTGGCATTCTCTGTCTCTTCTGGACAATTTACATAAAACTATTCTGTTATGTTCCCTAGAGCGTAGCCAATAATAAAGTCCCCCTTTAAATGATTAAATGCCTCTTTCATGTAATATTTCCAAAACGAATGTTTAATGGTAAATAAGCATTATAGTAATGTACGTGATTGATTTAATAACGTTACTCTTAATAAATCAGTCAAACTATTGTGTGAACATGAATAGTCCCATGAATTTGACATTTTGCGTGTTGTAGCGTATTTATTTAGCTATTGCTTCTCGCGATGTTAATTTGAAATGATCTAATCAGTTTATCTCTGACAACTTACAACTCTTATTAATAATTTTCTGTAGGCTATTCGAATGGAGTATGTCACCTGTATTCAAAAATATGGTTTTAGGTTTATCTGAAAAGTCGAATTCGGCTATAGCCTCGTATCTTTAGGAATCCGTTTTCTAAAGTCCCTCTGTTTAGGAGCAAAATATTATAGCGTCACACAAATTTAGCCTATATTAATGGCAGATTATATCGAAGCACCATCTTAAAAAGCAGGGTGGCCCACTATATCTCGAGAGAGAGAGATAGGCTAACACCAATCTCAGTTGGCCATTGATGTATGGGGGGGTTCATTCATTCCAGTTAAATTCACAGCAAAATCCCCAGAGTTAAATCAACTCTGCTCAGAGTACATATTGTCCCAATCTACAGAGTGTTAAAGTAACACTGAAGCCAAGTTAAAGTTAATGGGATAATTAAGCAATTAATTAATTGATGAGTGAGCATTATTAAAGAAAACCCGCTGTTAACAATGTTGAAGATGAACAACTACTGCTCAGGCTTTTAGACATGAAAACATATCACATAATCCTCAACAGTGGTAACTCTGCTTCTGTGTTACTTTAACACTGTAGATTGGGACAATATGTACTCTGAGCAGAGTTAATTTAACTCTGGGGATTTTGCTGTGTAGGAACTTAGATTTGAAAATAGCTCTAGAAAAAAAAACCTAAAGGCTGACCAGTCTATTTTAAGTCAATGGTGAAAGTTATTGTGTATGACGTATTTTTAGTGCCTGTTTATTTATAGCTTACAACTCCAGTTGTCCTTTGCTATATAACTGCGGTGCTCGCTTTAGTTCACATTAGACCTACATTGCGAGTTTATCAGATTGATGGGTGGATTCGATTGATGTGTTTGTCATGTAAATTCGAATCGTTTGATGGACACCTGCAACGCCCAGAGTGCTACCGCAGGTCGCACACTATTGGTGCAAAATTAGTCACATGATCTGTCACTAAACTGATATGAGCTCGGATAGAACTTTGTGTGGTTTGACATACTGCTTAGAGGTTGTGGGGCAGTGGGACCACACATCAGCCTATATTGACCCTGCTTAATCAATTTTGCTTGGTCAGTCAACAATGAATTCCTACTTAGATTATACGATTTATAACCGTGGTGCTAACACTTATAGTTCAAAGGTTGCGTGTTTTCCTATGGAGCAGGAATACTTGCCAAGTGCTTGTGCAAGTACAAATAGTTACAATCCCGAGGGACGGCCAGTCGGAGGGAATACTTTTACACCGGCATCGCACGAAACACATGGCACAACTTATGCACAACTTCATTCGCAGCAATACCACATCAATGTGGACATGGGGAAAACTGGACACCCCAATTTTTGCAAGCAAACCCGACCTCCTCACTCGGACTATGGACATCAACATGTACTCACGCAAGCAGATGACCACATGCGTCTTCAGTCCCCTGCTTTTTCTGTCGTGAACATGGGAGCCAACATTGGAACATACAGTGAATCTAACTGCAGGCCTGGCTCGGTCTCTGCAAGCCATTATCAGTCCTATCCATATGGAGAACATGAACCACCACACAGCTATGGTTCGTTCAGCAAGTACCAGGTCTCTCCTGACAGTGATAGCGACTCCAAGACGAACATCAATCAAGCGCCAACGTTTGACTGGATGAAAGTCAAGAGAAACCCCCCTAAAACAGGTTAGTTGAGGCTAATTACAGTGGCTACTGTAAGCTTAATGTACGTAGTATAAAACAATCTCAAATGTGGTTTCTAATGTGTCTTTTTTTGGTTTGTTTCTTTCAGTTAAAGTCGATGAATATGGGATCCACGGCCAGCAGAATATAATACGCACCAATTTCACCACCAAGCAGCTCACCGAACTTGAGAAGGAGTTCCACTTCAACAAGTACCTGACCAAAGCACGCAGAGTAGAAGTGGCCGCCACCCTCGAACTGAACGAAACGCAGGTTAAAATTTGGTTTCAGAATCGCAGAATGAAACAGAAGAAGCGTGAGAAGGAAGGAACGGCCCCGGTAATTAAATGTGCGACTCTTTGCTCTTCTAGTCAAAGCGCAGACAACTCAAACAGCTCATCCCCGGGTGCTTCGCCTACCTCAGACTCTTCCACTGCTATATGATGATTACGTGCCTTTGTGGCAAACGAACTCATGTTTCATCATTGTGCTGTGGAGAGCTATTTAACTTATTCTGCTGTCTTAGACAAAGCATTAAATATCTGCTAGTGTGCATGCGTGTTTTATATATAACGCAAAATAAATAATTTTGTTGCATTAGAGCTACTGAATTCATGGTTCAAAATGCATTAACAGGGTATATTTTTTTCAGTTTTTTTTTTCAGTCATCAGCTTGATATCCTTTTTTGCACTACTGATTCATTCCTCTGTTGAAAGAGTAAAAAAAATATATAGTAAAGACTGATATGTTTATGTATTTAGAAAACAATCTGGCCTGTGATGTTCTGATAAATTAATACATTTTATTTTTCTGAAACATGTTTGTGGATTTAATCCGATTTAAATCGATTTATTGATTTTCTTTTAATTAAAAGGCTCTTCATGATGTTGGCATGATTGTGTCCTTTGTCAGAGGATGTTGCAATACAATGGAGCTAATTTAAATCAGTGTTGCTCTAGTCTGTATAGTTTGACTAGAGGAATGTTGCATTACACACCGGGTGGCTTCCTATGACCTTTTCACCTTTTTGTGCCTACAGGCTCTCTAAACATGTAAACACTCCTTGGTGCTCAGTGTAACACTCACTGAGATTTGATGTTTCAATCCTACTTGGCACAGATACTGCAGGTTAAGAATGTATAGGACTTTTAGCGGAGTAAGACCCTTTCTAACTCCAAGTTACAAGACCCCTTTTGGCATCTCATTTGTGTTTTCTTAGACAAGGCCATTAATGAGAGAATGATAAAGATTTTGTAGATTATATAAATGTACTTGGAAATAAAACAAATGACCTTTGTTTGCATAAACAGTGAATGTTTTTGGGGGAAATCAGATTGAGAATGTAAGTGAAGAGGTGAGCAATTACAGAGAGAGAGAAAAAATGTTTAACCATAGATCTCGATTTGCCTCAATTCTTCTAGAAAGTTTGCAAGGACTTGACAACCCTGTTTCATTTCCCTGATCATCTGATGGACTGCTCCAATATTTACTCGGGGTGTAGGGTTTGCACAGTATTTGCCCCAGCAGCCACGCACTGTCAGCACCCTCTCCACTGACCAGGTTCACTCAGAGTTCAGGCCTAAATCAATTCACAAAAGCCATGGGCCTGTCCAGCAGGGGATGAGAAGGGTTTCTTCCCAAAGGTCAAGCAGAGTGTTATCTCTCTCCAAAATCAGTTATCTGCTATAAACTGAAAATCGAATTGAATCTCTAGCCTGATATAAATAGACAATAAAATTCATTTTAAGTAAATTAATAAAATGCTGCAATAAGGTTACTGCTGTTGAGATTTAGATATTAGTTAAATTGAGAATTTTCACTAAGCAATTTCACATAAATAGAAAGGTGAAATCATGACAAAAAGTGGCATGAGTTTAATTTTTACTTTCACACTTAATGTAAGCTACATTGTGGTATGCCCAGTTTAGTTAAATCCATCCCAAAACAGTCCAACAACTTAGCAGTAAAGACATGATGCTGATTAAAAACATATTTAGTTCCATTTATGAAAGTTCATAAGTAACGGCACAAGCATCAATGTTGAAATGACCATGCAAATGAAAATTTGTTTGGAAAATCCATACAAATATATTATTTGGTCAGCCAGCCCCAAGGGGAAAAGGCTACAAACATGTTTACTTTAATTTATTAAGTATGTTTGTTGCTTGCCCTTTTGGGTTGTGTAGCTCTGGGCTCCTGGGTCTCCCATCTGTGGGCATCAGTAGAAAAGCTACAGTGCTGCAGAGTCAGATGTTCAGTCAGCCTGGAGGAGGAGGCTGTTTTTCACCAGGTTGTCAGTGTGCAGAAAAGGCTCACACTGCAGAATGGGGGGCAAGAGGAACAGTCCACAGATACCAGAGAATTAGGAGATGATAAAAATAGCATCCTTAAACAATATGCAGGAAAGAAATAGGCTATGTGTGGAAAGACAAGGAGAGAGAAAATAAATGTGTGTCTGTGAAAGAGGCAGTCAGCAATAGTCATCAGAGAGTCAGTAATTTTGTGAAATAGTGGAGTGGCTGTTTTTAAGATTACATCAGGTAAGATTGGCAAATATTTAAAAAAAGATGCACTGTATACTGATAAATGATGCCGCAGTATTGCATATCACTTTGCTGACAAAATTTACTTGATAGATTTGATCATTTTGTGGAAAAATATATAGATATTTAAATCTCCCCACAAGGACAATCTATTTTTATGTATACTACCATTCAAAAGTTTGGGGACAGTAACATTTTTTTTTTGAAAGACATTAATACTTTCATTCAGCAAGGATGCAATACATTGCTGAAGACGTTTATGATATTACAAATTATGTCTATTTTAAATAAATGTTGTTTTTCAAATTTTCCATTCATCAAAGAATCCTGAAAAAAATCCAGCACAACTGGTTTGAACACTGATAATAATAAAAATGTTTCTTGAGCACAAAATCAGCATATTAGAATTATTTCTGAACGATCGTGTAACAGTGAAGACTGCATTAATGGCTGCTGAAAATTTGCCATCACATGAATAAATTATATTTTACAATATATTAAAACTAAACCAACAAAAAAGTTACCTCCTGTATTTAATAAAATGCAATGGGAAAAATAGAGAATTTTCATGTTAAAAATTCAGCGACAAAAATCATATTGACAGGTACACCGCCTTTGCTGTCAGGTCACTTTTAAGGTGACGTTTAGGGAAGATCTGAGGCTTGCAGTGTATACTCTCCCTGCTGGGTGTGCTTGTCAGAGGGTCTTTTACAAATCAAATGCCTGGCTTGACTTCCTGAGTCTTGTTCAAGTCCCTCTGAAGCATGTCACTCCGCTGGGGTGAGTGACCTCAAAGAGATAAAAAGAATATTGTATACACTATTCATAGGCTTGAAACAGGGGTCAGGGGGTAATTTTATATGTCTTCTTGTCTTTCACAGACATACAGTCAACAGCTAAGACAGTGGCCACATGCAGATAGCCTCCTCCTCTCAGTGAAAACAGGAAGAACAGGAAGCCTTCCTCTTGAGCTCTCCACACAGACCCATATGACCATCCCCCTCTCACTCAAACGTATCCATGTCCTCGTGAGGCGATTTAATCACTCCACCGCCTTATTAGCTGAGTAACTGAGAGGGAAAGCTTCAAAGACCCTGCAGCACACGGGCTGGGATGTTGCCAGTAAGCAACCAACAGATATTGACTTTGGCAGTGTAAAAACAAACATGTGCAAGATGTTTTATAGTATAACACTGATTAGATTATGAGAGAGAGAAGTGAAGTTATTGCACCTGCTCAGAAAAGGCGATTTGGAAAATTGCCAGTTGCTCTCAAAACCAACACTACAGTGTTTTTGTCATAATTGAATTGACAAATTTCCTGCATGTGGTTTTGTTTGTATAGGGATCTTAAAGCTTGGCAAAGTGTAACCAGTGCTCTGTCACTCATATGATTTAGAGAGGTGAGTAGTGCGCGCCAGAGGGAGACAAATGAAAGCTGACAGTTCATTTTATCAGAGACAGATCGTTGATCTCATGCACTGTCTCCCTGGTCTCTTTTAGAAGGTGGTGAAGGTTGAATATTAGTGGATACTGATACAACCAACCGCCCTCTTCTGAATCCCAAAGGCTTTATATTCCAGCCAGCAGAATATGAGTTACAGCACGACACACTGAAGCTACAAAACCAAAGAAGTATCAGATTTCAGTAATAAAATTAGCATATTCTTTTTTGATTCATATTTTTCCTTTCCACAATTCAGTATCATAGAAACCTTTATATTTAACAAGCAATTACATAAATGCACGCTAAATCAGTTAAACAATTTGAAAAACAATTGTTTGTGGCTTCATGATGAAACTATTAACTGTAATTATGTTTAAAATGGATAGTTCATGAAAAAAGGAAAGTTCTGTCAATATTTACTCATCTTCATGTTGTTCCAAACCTGAATTACTTTTTTTATTCTGTTCAACACAAAAGAAAAAAAAATTAATGTTTTAACTCTTTTTGACCATACAATGAAAGTCAATGGGGTCCAAAACAGCATCGGACCCACCCCACTGACGTTCAATGTGTGGGGAAAAAAACAGAAAAAAAAGAAATGCATACAGGTTTGGAACAACACGAGGATGACACTTTTTGGGTGAACTATCCCTTTAAGCACATGCGCATTAATAGATATTTCTCTGAGAAGTTATCTGAAAAATTCTCATTTTATAACTTAACATTTTTTCGGCACAGAAGTTCCCAGAACTATCCATTTCAGCAGTTTTTAAATGGTCCTATACAATTTAGCCATTTGCATATGAGAAAACTGAGAACTGAATTTATTCTACTCAAAAGATATAGTGAAAACCGTTCCTCTAAGTTCACCATGATTGATCTGTGGGTGTTAACATACACTGATACCTTGGAAATCCTTTTGACAAACTATCATAATCCCCCCCCCCCCAATCTACTTTAGAAATATTTACCACACGGGTCCTTAAACACCCACACAAACATCTTCTAAAGTGCTGCCTATAAGTGCCTGAAGTGTCATATGCATGTGTGGGGAAGTTAATTAGCAGCAAGGAGCAGAACTAAGTTCAAAGGGTCAAACCAGCGACAGAAATGAGCCCAAGGCTTTGCAAGGGCCACGATGTTTTCATACCATTTAACAGGAAACACATTATAAGCCGATTGATAGTAATTGAATCTCATAATGGGAAAGACGACAAACTCTGAAACTGTTCCAGTGCCTTCATATTGACCCCTGGTCTCTCGAGGGGTGTGTGACCATGTTGGAGTGTGATTTCTGTCAGGTCTGGGCGGTTGAGGGGGGACTCTCAGATGACAGAGTTCTGCCCCTCCCCCAAGTGAAACGCAAATGAAAAGGAATGCAGAGATAAAAAAGCTTGTGTTCCCAGATAAGGGGACAGAAGAAAGGAGTAGGCGAATGCTAAAAGAGCACTCTTGGGGAGATGAGAGGCGCTGATGGCAGTGTTGGTGGTAGGAGATCATAGCAGGTTCCTCTCATCAGCCCAGGCCTGTGTTTGATACTGGGTCTTTGTCGCTCTTTCAGCTGTGTATTGTTGGGAGGTGTAATCCCAGGCGGATTACAAAGGCAAGATCCTTTCATATGGCTGTGCCCAGCAGGCAGGAGGCAGTGCTCATGCTGGAGTGGAGGGCCACGCTCATTCCTCTATACC